GCCCAACAGATTGGGAGTACAGATCCCGAAGATCTATTCAACAATCACCTTCGTGTCAACGGGCTCTTGCCCAACAGTCACCTGTTTGCATATCGTCATGTACAGGGAGAAAAAGAGACGTTGCGTCCCATGACAAAACCGGCTTTCATCGCACGCATACACAAGGCCGCCAAAAACCGTGGTCTCAAGACGTTACAAGGTCACGGTATACGGATCGGCGCCACCCTCGAATACCTCCTACGAGGTGTTCCATTTGACGCGGTTAAGGTCATGGGACGATGGAAAAGTGATGCTTTCTTGTTGTACCTGCGCAGGCACTCGGAGATAATGGCACCGTATATGCAGCCAGATTTGCATCAAGAGTTCATCAGATATACGATGCCACCCGTGCGTTGTGAGTACACTCCTTCTTTCGGGGGTATCCGCGGTCGCTGGATGCGTCGTCCGTACTCCTTCGTATTGGGTATCGCAGCTGACCACGTCCACAAGGATTCAGAACCGTTGCTGGGGCCCGAAGGCTTCGCCTTCACCCACCACTTGCAGCTCACTGTTCCAAGCTCACACAGATTCCAAGCTCACACAGATCCGCACAGATCTACCATCTACGTAGCATTTGAATGCAGTACAAAGATTGTAGATTTGATAAGAGTGAGGCACGAGCTCAAGGAAATCGAGGTCTTCGTACGGACATGTGATGCGGTAACTCCTTCCTCTTTCGTTACCGTCATCACGTCGAGTCGCGCGTCGACGACACTCGCATTTCAGGCTCGGCTCTTTCTCTTTTCTTTCCCACCCGCCGCTCCCTGAGATATGTGTTCAGTCAAAGAATGAACTCATGCAGCTGCGAACTTGCTCGGCTCTGCTCTAGCACGGCAAGTCCTAGTGCCAGCTGCGTGGCCCACCCGCCCATCGCAGCTGACCACGTCCACAAGGATTCAGAACCGTTGCTGGGGCCCGAAGGCTTCGCCTTCACCCACCACTTGCAGCTCACTGTTCCAAGCTCACACAGATTCCAAGCTCACACAGATCCGCACAGATCTACCATCTACGTAGCATTTGAATGCAGTACAAAGATTCGTGAACAAAACACGTCAAGGCCATCAACGACATCAATAAATCTTCCTTCCGTCAGTACTAGCGCATATCATGCAGCTAATCAACAGGATTCGAACCTCCTCCAGTAAACTTAACATCCGAATGTACGTGAAATGCATTGGGCACTATGGATTCTAACGTTTCGCGCAGATCTGCCAAAATCTCCCATAAGAACAAACAGAAGGACGTTACTATGCTACCTGATCTTCCACTTGAAGTCTGGCAGATTATTTTCGCCTTCGCAACGTTCGTCTCGCTCGACATGTACTATGGGCGCGAATGGCTCTTGAATCCTCCCTCTGATGACGACCCTCGCCGCATACATTTTGTAGGTTGGGAAATGCACCTTTCTGAAAAAGTGGCTAATAATTTGCGCCAGAACACCAGATATCAACTGACTTTGGTCTGCAAGGAATGGCAAGCCGCGTCTTTGCGGTTTCTCTATGCTTCTATCGTCATCTCCGATTGGGACCACGTCCCATTTGTTCTGCACGCGCTCGAAACATCGCGGGAGCGCGATGACGAAGTCCCGCTCGGATGGTTCACGAAGGCCTTGGTTATCCCGTGCAACGTATTGGACGAAACGCGCGATCAGACTTTAATAGCACGCATTTTACGCTGCCTTCCAAACCTGCGCTATCTACGCCTCTCTACAACAAAACCGTCTCTCACTTTTGTTGAAAACCATGTGATTGACGTGTTGTGCACGTCCTGCTTGGGCCTCGAGGTGTTGGAAACAACGAAATATGTCGCCATTCTGCCATACGGGTCTTGGTCGGTGATTTTCGACTCCCTGAAGAGCCTCCATTCCTTCACCACGACCTTTATACAGCCAAGGTTTGCCTCCGATGTCGACGCAATCACGTCCGCTGCTGCCTCATCCTCCGTGACCTACCTGCACTTACACATTTCGCCTTCCGATGTCGCCAACGCAGATCTTTCCGTGCCTACTCCGGAGTTATGCTCTTTGCAGACCTGGGTATACGATGTGGACGTAACGGACGATGCGGACTTCCACAGGAATGTAATGAGGCCGACATTGGTCGCGTACAGGACCCAGCTCTCGACAATCATACTGTGTTGCGACTTTTACTACGGCCACCATGTCCAGACTATTTTCTCTCTAGTCAGCCGCCATTGCCCGTGTCTTGAAACACTCATGCTCGTTCCCACCCGCCAGCCCCAAAACGCGTGTTGGGAACCCCGAATGATTCCCTTGCCCTCCCCGATTCTGTAACTCTACTCGGAGTTTGTGCTTCGAAGTGTGGTGCTGCGTTGGGCGGCGGTCAGCTTCGTGGCCTGTTTAGGGTTTTGCAATGCATGAGCGCGGTTAGCCTGTGCGCGGTTAGGTTGACGAGTTGGAGGAACGTGAAGGACCTGATGGGTCTGAACCAGGCTTCCGAGTATGCACGCCAGTACGGTCGTCACGTACTCGCTAAGCAAGGTTGGACACTCGAAGATCCTGATGGGAGAGCATTGTGGTGAAGTGCATCGGGTCTCAAAACCTGAACATCGTTCATTATTCCCATCTTTCTACTTCCATTTGCTATTTATCATACTTATCTTTTTCTTTATTGCTATCCTTATATGGAAAAGTATTTAGAATCAAGGGGCCAGACCAGTACTAATGTTATCATTCGTTCCGTCCAGACTGCCCTTTTGTACTGTACTACCAGTCTCCATCGGCGAAGTCGAACCTCAAATCTGTCACGCTCGAATCGGGCGGCAAGAGCCCGAATATCGTCTTTGATGATGCCGACTTGGACCAAGCTCTGAAATCTTATGCTGGTATGTCCCACGTCATGACCTGGAGTCTTCAGTAACCATTATTTCATCAGGCCAAACGTGTACTGCTGGTCCGCGTATCCTTGTTCAAGAGGGGATCTACGACGAATTCATCAATAAATTCGTGGCGATTGCCAAAGCTCAGGCTGCGAAGAAGGGCGACCCGTTTGAAGCTATGCCTCAAGTCTCTCAAACACAGCTGGATGTAAGTACACGACGTATGATGACTGACGGATGGTCCAGCGCGTCGTGGCTTACATCGACATTGCGAAGAAAGAGGGTGCAGAATTCCATACCGGAGGCGTGCGACTTTGAGACATTGGCTACTTCGACGAGCCTACAATCATGTCGGGAAACAACAACACGAAGTCTTTCCGGGAGGAGATATTCGGGCCCGTGGCAGTGAAGTTCGAGACGGAGGAGGGTACGTGGATACCTCAGAGCCTTCTGAACTGGCTCCACAGAGGCGCTTGAAATCGCCAACGACACTGAATATGGTCTGGCGGCAGGAGTGTTCACTGAAAACTCCTCTCGTTCTCTTCGCATGGCCCACAACTTGGACGCCGGCACGCTCTGGGTCAGCAATTATAGTACAAGCGCATCTGGACTCGGGCGCGACATTCCCGACGTGGCGCAAGTTCTTCCCGATCTGGTGCCATCAACAGCCGGTCAACTTCCGAGGAAGGCCGATGAAGATTGGTTCTCCGCCTTCAGTCCGCTTCCTAGTCTCTTACAGTCTTCCTGTATTGTCTTTCTGGTATGTTTCCGCCCTCACAAGTCTGACAAACTGATGATTTTGAAGGCTCTGCAGACGACACCATAATCCAGCCCCGTATCGATGTATCGCGAACGCTTCCGCCTCTGATAAACCCCTGCGATGCCTGCAAGCCTCTCACCCCGAGCAATCTCAACCTATACGACTGGCTCGCCTCCAAATATGTCGAAACGCACGAGGTCGCTCCATCAAAAATTGTTTCGACACTCTCATCTGGTCTGCGCGACCCCCTGGTCTACCAGTGGTACTACGACGACCGACAGCGCCTAAGGACATTGTCTCTACCCCGCTTCATCGCTGCTCTGCGCGACAAATTCCTTCCGCGGTATTGGGCCGACGACATCGAGCAATCCATACTGACATCGCTACAGGGTTGGAACGAGCCCGTTGTGCAATGGACGTCGAGACTGCGGTCGCAGAATATCCTTCTGAAGGGAACGAAGAATCACCTGAGTGACGATAAACTGCTCATGCATTTGAAATCGCACCTGAACAAGGCGCTCGTCGATGTGTGCTCCCAGGACGAGGCGATGCAGATGGAAAACGATTTGGATGTTTGGTGTGACGCGATGCGCGCGCTGGAGGATGGAAAGATGACGGGAAAGAAAAGACCACTGGAGGAATTGGGGCAGAGCAGCACAAAACGCGCCCGTCTGTCGATCGTGGGCGATCCCTACTGTCCACCGCGTGAATCCACTAGAGCTTCTACGCCAGCCGAGCACCCATCTCCTCATCGTCGCTCCCATTCTCCTGCCCACGTCGGGTCTCAACTTCCCCGCAAACCCTATTTTCCTGTTGGACGCGGTGATCACTACTCTCCTCCCGAGTCCGCGAGATATCGCAGTGACGGCCTCGTCAAGCTCACAGAGATCGAGCGCAAATGGATCTGCGCGCACGATGGGTGTTTCAAGTGCCGCAGAATCGGCGTCTACCACACATCGAGTGCTTGTCCAACCGGACATCCAAAAGCGAGCAAGTATCAGGGTATTACTTTGGCGGATGGAATTACGTTGGCGAAGGGCGCACCGAAGAGGTGAAGCATTGATGTATCCCCGGTTCTAACTCGTCCGTTTTCTGCAACGGCTCTTGTACAAATGTAGACCAAACAAGTTCTGTACTTGACCGAGCTGGCTATACATTGTCGTCTTCTTGATGTGTACTGTGAACAGGTAACATCCTGATTACAACTTCGGGTCGGACCTCGTTGGGTGCATGGCTGAAGCTTCAATGAGGTTAACGACTGAAGTTGGGACATCTAATTATGTGCATGAACGTTAACTGAGCAGTGAGAAAGTATAGCAGCTACTCGACTCCATGCCAGCAAAAAACGGCGCCATCATGCCTATGGCCAACGTGGGGATCGAACCCAAGACCTTCGCGTTAACACTGAATACGTATTAGCACGACGCTCTAACCAGCTGAGCTAGTCCGCCGATAAGTATGAAGAAATGCGCCACACCACGTCTCGCATCTTCTGCTTTGGCTCGGTCAAATTAACAAATGGACTGTAACTCTCTCAAGTGAGATCAATTGACCCGGAGGGGTGCGCCAAAGTCCTCATGGCATTGTCCATAGGACGAGACTCTGAATCTTAGGCAAGTCTTAGGGCATAGGCGGTGGTCCTGTCATTGTCCCGGCGCTTGGCAGGTACAAGATGAGTCAATAAGCTCGGTGTCAACACGGAGAAGACGAGAAAAATCTTCGAGACCACTGCGAATATGCTGTAGGTTATCGGTGCGCGCCATTATCTCTACGCTGAGGACCAGTTCACTATACCGTATACGTGCCAGCTGTGCTCGTGCAGGTCACCGCCCGTTGAACTTGTGGTCAACGAATTGTCAACGAAGAAAGTTGGTGGCACATCCGGCAACTTCCCGGGCCGTATGGCCCGTACCTCTAGAACTCTTACGTCTCCTCCGTCTATCGGACCTCGTAAATACCACCTTGGATCGCCCTAACATGCCTCGCACATTCAAAGATGGCACCCAATACGCTCTGGCTCTGGCCGTGCAGAGGCAAGTCGTATACCCGACTGCTCCAACTCGCGTCGGTGTCTGCACTCGCGTTATACGGCTGGTAAGTCTGCATTGTACGGCAGTGTTTAGGCGCTGATGCACGCGACCATAGGGATGCTGGTATTATGGGAGGGTACTATCTATAGCTTGGCAACATTAGCATTGGCATTGACTTACGTCCTTCGAAGGATTTTGAACACGCCTCAGTTTGATCGCCAGATTCACGCGGCATCCACCGATGTAACGAGCTTCATTTCCAGTGGCATTATTCTAGGTGTGCTGTCCTCATTGCATTCTTTGGTCCTCGTTTGACACGTACTATAGGCGACATCTTTGGCTGCGCTATCATCGCGCCACTGTCTTGGACGGTTGGTCGCCGCGTGTCGATTTTGCTCTCGGTACGTCCGTTAAGTTGATAGGCGACACTCATGATTGAATAGTGCTGGACCGCCCTCCTGGGTATCATCATCCAAACGGCGGCGGTCAACTCGACCATGATGATTATTGGCCGTGTCATTCTGGTATGTAGGCCTTAGACTTGTCCTAAACTTGCATCTCACGCTGCCCCAGGGTTTGGGGAACGGTGCTATCTCCGCTGCTGTGCCTGTGTTTGTCCACGAAGCCTCGGTCGCGAGAAGTTCAGGTACTGCCGTGGGTTATATTCATCATCGGTTCTTTCCTCGGGCTCAGTGGGTTTTGTAGGATGACCGAACAACTAAAGTCATGTGGAACATAGGCCTGGGTACGTCTCGTACTTTGAATTGACTGCATAGCTCGAATCGAACTTTTCTACAGCGGTATCCGCCATCTCCATCGTTGCCTGGATTGGATTTGGCGTCTATCAGAGCCGTAAGAATTGTTCACATCTTCTTGATTTGTAGTCTTCCTCACACGATTCGTATCAGCATTCCAGAACGGTTGGAGAGTTCTCTTAGCATCTCAAGCCGTTTTCATTCTAGTTCCAATTGTGATATTTCATGGTCTGCTTTGGTCTTTCACACCCTGTGATGTACATTCACATTTTGATCCCACCTAGGTGTTCTTGAAAGTCCCCGCTGGTTGTACGCAAAAGGGCGCATCGAAGAAGGTGACGCCTCGTTGGAGCGCCTAAATGGCAAAACTCTCGACGATCCAGAGGTCAAAGCGCAGAAGGCTGAGCTCATAAAGGCATTGCAACTTGAGGCGGAAGATTCGGCTAGCATCAATCTGGCCGCTTTCTTCAAGAAGGATACTACAGAGGTTGGTTTGAATGGCTTCGAGTCCGTTCAAGTCATTCATCTTCTTGATAGACTAAGGTCGTCCGGCGCATCTGGATCTCCTGGATCCTCCAAGTTGGGAGGCCATTCTACGGCGGTAACCTTATTGTGTGTCCCTTTCTTTTCCTTTACTACTCCCGTTAGGTCTCATTAGCAAGCTAGACTTACTGTGAGTGTTCGGCGACTTGTTGGGAGCTCATGCCGGCTGATTGAGTCCGCTACTAGATGGCAAGTCAATCATCGGCACCTTACATTTCTCGACGGATATTACTGCGGTGGTAACTGCCGCTCTCAACTCGAGTGCGTCGAATTGCCTTCCATCTTCCTCGACGACATTAATACGAATTGTCAGTGGTTACTCTCGGCGTCAGTGAGTGGGTATACTTTAGGTCATACCTCAAAGTTACACGTCTCGGCTAGTCATCAGCTTCTTCACTGTTCGACACTTCGGTCGTAGAGACATTCTACTCTTCGGCGCCTTGGTGCAGACTTCCGCCATTTTAATCTTCACCATCCTCGGCAGTGAGTGTTCTACCGTATATCTACTTCCTACTCTTATAACGCCAACAGCACTCCCCGCTCACCTCACGACAAATGCCACTCGCTGGGCGCAGATTGCTATGTTATTCTGGTTCGAAGCAGGCTCCGGATTGTCTTGGAGTATGTTTCTCCCGTCGAACGGATCAAACCAATCGTTGACTTACCTTCCTCGTCGACAGTCTGGATGGTATACCTCTACGCTATTGAGATTGTGCCCACTCGATACCGAGGTCAAGCTGGGGGTATCGGTAATGTCGGTACCTGGACCATGGCTTTTGTGTTTGTGTACAGCGGACCGATTGCCATCAAGGATGTTGGGATCAAGTTCTTCATCCTCTTCATTCTCGGTATGGGCACAATCCGGCTGTTCAGGAATTGCATCTGACTGTCTGTTAGGTGGCTCAATCGTTACTCTCCTTGTCTATCTCTGTGAGTCTTGTAACTTCTTTATCTTGTTTGAGGTTATGGCTCATCTTTTCGCAGTCGTGAAGGAGACCAAAGGAATGACCCTCGAGGAGATCGACTTGCTGTGGGCGTCGGAAGATTACAAGGCGAGACATCAGGATGTCCTCGGCTTGGAAAGCTTGGAATCTTTGTACGATAAGAGCGGAGCTGAGTCCCCAGTCTCCCCCGCTACCAAACTTGTAGAGTAAATGGCGGTCCTTAATTTGTTTCGCCGACGAATGCACTTGTTGTGTTCTTGCACGTGGCTGTCGTAGATGGCTATCTTCGACTAACGGCCTAATTCCGTCCATGCTGTTCGACATTCATTGTATGACACATCCTCGCCGACTCCAACGTGTAGTTTCGTAAGGTGGCATTTCATTGAACCTTCTCGTTCGGTAATATCATGATGAACGATTGGAAGCAGATAACTGTATACGAACAGCTCTTCAATTCTTGCCCAACTTCAATCACGATGAGGTCGCAGTGCCGCGATCCTGCGTGTTGGTACCTATTTGCTATAGTTGAAGCTGCCACTTGGTGAGAGTGGACCCACAAAGCTGAGAGTTACTGACGTCAGTTCTTCGTCACTTCGAATTTAAATTCAATTTGGCGAATCGCGAGATGGATGTTCTCTATGTGCGTTCAAACTCAAGGATTGTTCTCTATATAGTTCAAACTCAAGGGCTCTGCTTAACGTTCAGTACGTCGCCATCACATAGCAGCATTTTTTGGAGAGTTGTGGTGCGCTGATGCTGTACATCAATTGAACGGCCTGAACGGCTTTCTATCACCGCGCTATATTAAGCAGAGCCGGCTTAATCGCTCGCCTGAAGACAGACCTTTCCCTCCTCCTCCTCCTTCCTGTGATTGTACGTCGAATATGGCATTGGCCGCCTTCAAGGTCCAGCTCCGCACTTGGGAGACCGCCCTGAGCAACTATGAGCAGCAGAATTATGACAAGGCGCTGGCTCTATTCGAAGTGCGTCCGTGACTGCTGTAGACGTCGTGGTGTCCTCACCTCCGGTGATGCCAGGAAATTGCAGATTCCGGTAAACCCTGCATGAACGTGGCGCTTATCCATCGTGAAAGGGACGATTTGGAGCAGGCGTTGCATTGGATGACGCTGGCGATTGCTATGGATCCATCACTGGCTGTAGCGTAGGAGAGCCTCACTTTTATGGACTCGTTTTGCTGATATTGGATCCAGATACTTTGAGCGAGGATTATGTTATTACTCGTTAGGCATGAAGCAAGAGGCCCTGGATGACTTCAGTGATGCCGCTCTCCGAATGAGAGGTGATCGGGAAATGTATGTTTGATCCGCCCTGCCATCATCGTTGGATCTCATCATGTCGAATACAGCGATTACGCTGAGCAAAGGCCTCCGGTACAAGCTGTACGCGGCCGAAATCCTGTTCAACAAGGGTGTCGTGTTGCTCGAACTCGGTCGTCGGTCTGATGGACTCGCGTGTCTGGGGAAAGCTGTTCTCAAAAAGGTGCTGCCGTCCCATCATAAGATGCACGAAACGCTAGCGTACCCGGACAAGAAGTATGACCTGTATAAAGTTGTGAGTGATTTCGTACCTCACCAATCTTCCCAGGCTTACATCTCTTCTTCAGACTCCAGGTGTACTTTTTCGACCTACAGACAGCAAGATGAAGTTCCTAGAAGAGTATGATGACATCCTAGACCAGCCAATCCTCCACAAAAAGAGCCTGAGCCTGAACACTCAGTCGCTGATTGAGCTCGACAAGACTCTTCCTGGTCTTCCTCATCGGAAGGCTAGCAGCGCCCTATCCTTTACCACGACTATCGCACCCTCTGAATCAGCATCCGTTATCTACACGCCCAGTATACAAAGCGCTTCTCCCACGCGGAAACGTACGATTACTAGGCGCCATACACTACACGCCGGCGTCATCCCGTCCACGACGCGTGTTGAGCTCGAGCGCCAGATGGGCAAAGACTTCCTCATACCTTCCACCGAGATATCGACCATCCCATGCGCCGGGCTGCGTATCACCCACGGTGCCCTCGCCGGCCTGATGGCGTTCCGGTTTGTTGTCTCCCTCGACCAGAAAATCACATTCCCCGCGCCGCGAAGGTCTATTGTCGCCAACTTCCTCCTGGACACCGGGCTTGGAAGATCTCTGATGCCTCCGGAGACCCTCTTG